TTGCAAATCTGAAACGCTATACTGATTAAGCAAATTACTTTCCCCTTCCACTATCTCCTTGGTAACCATGATTCTACTTTCTGTTTCTATGAATTTGAGTACTTTAGATACCTTGAGAAAGTAGAATCATACTGTATTTTTGTGGCTGGCTTTATTTCACTCAGCATATTTCTTCCCTTCCCCACCACGAGTCCACTCTCTTGCCCTGGGCAGTGTGCTGTCACGTCATAGCTCACAGCAACCTCAAACTCTTGGGTTCAAGAGTTCCTCTTGCCTCAGCCTCCCAAGTAGCTGAGACTGCAGGCGCCTGCCACAACACCCAGCTAGTTTTTCTGTTTTTAGTAGAGACAGAGTCTAGCTCTTGGTTAGGCTGAGCTTGAACTCCTGAGCTCAGGTGATCCTCCCACCTTGGCCTCCCAGAGAGCTTATTGTTTTCATCTATGTTGTAGCACGTGACAGGATTTCCTTCCTTTTTAGGACTGAATGATATTCAGTATGTATATATACTACATTTGGATCGTACGTATGTACATGTACTGTGTTTGTAGTATATACAATACATTTTGTTTATCCATTCCTCTTTTGATGGACATTTGGGTTGCTTCCTCCTCTTGACTATTGTGAATAGTGTTACTGTGAACTTAGGTGAATAAATATCTGTATTTTTGATTATTTTGTTTTAGAAATGGGATTTTCTAGAAATGGGGGTCTTACCATGTTGCTTAGGCTGCACTTGAACTCTAGGGCTCAAGCAGTCCTCCTGCCTTGGCCTTCCTAGTAGCTAGGATTACAAGTGTGTACCACAATGCCAGGCTCCAAATATCTCTTTGGGACCTCATTTCATTGGCATATTTACCAGTAGTGGATTTCTGGGTCAGATGGATATTATGTTTTTAATTTTGTGGGAACCTCCATACTGTTTTCTGTAGCGGTTGCACTATTTTACAATCCAAATTCTCCACATCCTCACCAAGACTTGTTATTTTCTATTTTTTTTTTATGGTGGTCACAAATGTGTGGTGATATCTCAGTGTGGTTCAAATTTGGATTTCCAGATTATTAGTGATGTTTAGCATCCTTTTGTTGTATGCTTGTTAGCTATTTGTATATTATCTTTGGGGAATTGTATATTCAGTTTCCTTACCCATTTTTAAATTGGGTTGTTTGGTTTTTTGGTTGTTCTAGGAGGTTTTTTGTTGTGGTGGTGGTTGGTTGTTTGTTTGTTGAGGCAGTCTTACTCTGTCACTGCCCTGGGTGGAGTGCTATGGCATCAGAGCTCACTGCAACCCCAAACTCCTGGGCTTAAGCAGTCCTCTTGCCTCAGCCTCCCGAGTAATTGAGACTACAGGTGCCGACTGCAATGTCTGGCTGGTTTTTCTATCTTTGGTAGAGACAGGGTCTAGCTCTTGCTCAGGGTGGTCTTAAATTCCTTAGCTCAAGCAATCTACCTACCCCATCCTCCCAAAGTGCTAGGATTACAGGCATGAGCCACCGTGCCCAAGTCTAGCAGTTTTTTTTTTTAAATAAATTCTGGATATTGGAAGATGACCCTAAATTCTTGAAAACTGTTGATGCTACCATCAGATATGATTCCTGGCAAGCCCATGTGTGTTGAGAGCTCATCAGACTGTCCTCTGGCCTGCTTTGCTGTTCATGACATGAGACAGACAGTTACTATGGGCGTCATCAAGGCAGTGGACAGGAAGGCTGCTGGAGCTGGCAAGGTCACCAAGTCTGCCCAGAAAGCTCAGAAGGCTAAATGAATATTACTTCTAATACCTGCCACCCCAGTTTTAATCAGTGGTGGAAGAAAGATCTTAGAACTATTTGTTTCAATTGGCCATTTAAGTTTAATAGTAAAAGATTGATTAATGATAACAATGCATCGTAAAACCTTTAGAACTGAAAGAGTGTTTTGTGGACCATTCATTTCTTTTAGTGTAGTAGTTTTAAGTTATTAGTTTTTAAAATCAGTACTTTTTAATGGAAACAACTTGACCAGAAATCTGTCACAAAATTTTGAGACCTGTTAAAACTAAGTTTAATGAGAAAAAATAAATAAATAAATTCTGGATATTAATCCGCTTGTCAGATAATATTTGGAAATATTTTCTGTCATTTTGTAGGTTCCCTTTGAGCACTACTGATTGTATTCTTTGATGCACAAACATTTTTAAGTTTGACATAGACCTATTTGTCATTTTTTCTTTTTTGCCTGTGCCTTTAGTGTCATATCCCATAAATCATTGCCATGTCCAATGTTACAAAGTTATTCCTTTGTGTTTTCTTCTAGGATTGTTACAGTTTTAAGTCTTACATTTAGGTTAATCTATTTTGAGTTAGTTTTTGTATATGGCATAAGACTTTCATATATTGGCATTTGAGATTTCTCCATAGAAAATGGGTAGTACACACTGATTGATCTGCATTAACTTGTTGACTAACCAAGTCTTGTCAACAAAGATGCCAATAAATTTTTTAATGCTCCATTTTAAAAATGGAAGAAAGCCAATGAACAAACAGAAGAAAGAAACCTAGAGGAAACAGAGACATGCTGTGAGAAAACAAACAACTTCAAAAGCAGCCCATCCATTTAGTATCCCCAGAGAGATTATGAGAAGATATTGTATCCATATAAAAGAACAGGAAGTTCCAAAAAAGGGAACAATTGTAGAATAAGAAAGAGCTGTTAGAAGTTGCAGCTTTCATAGTCAAAATTTAAACAATGAAATAAAATGATGCAAAGTTTAAACTGAGGAACATTCCAAAAAATAGAAATAAGGCAAATAAAAAGCAGAGGTTTAATACATATCATGGCCAATATTGGACTAAAGACAGAATAGGAAAGATGGTGGGATAGAGGTAAGAAATTTTTAAAAATAAAATTACCACTTCTGATAATGTTAGGCTTGGTATTAAGACCAGCTTTTACACTGAAGACAACTAAAAAAGCTGGACAAAATGTAAAAACGGTATTTTTAGAAAGCCTCAAAAGCCTTGTAAAGAAGTACTGGGTTGAGTGCCAAGTGAGAGTGGGAATCTAGAAAGGTCAAAACTCAGTACATGAGCTGCTTTTGTCTTTGTGGTATTTGTCATCTTTAAGAGGTGGCTGAGAGGCTGAACTGTGCCTTCTGGGTCAAGAGAGACAAGTCCAAGGTCAGGCTTGCCACAGATTGGGCTCTGCTGAACTAGCTCCCTTTTTATGGCTAGGACCTCAATAGGCTGCATCCCAAGAGTAAGGATGAACCAGAGGAACACTAACCCTTGCACAGATTGCAACCAGAAAAACCTCAATCTGTGAACTCAAAAGGAAGCATGGATAATAAAACATGTAAATAAGTTAAGAAAAAGACATAGGGATTCAGGGAGTAGGGAGGATCTTGAACAACACATCCCACCACCTTCGTCTAACTGACAGTGAGCACTACACCCAACAACTGCAGGATACACATTACTTTCAAGCACACATGGTTATGTCCTATATGATAGACCATACGCTGGTCCATAAAACAAGTCTTAATAAATTTAAAGGAGCAAAATCATACAAAGTGTATTCTCTGACCACAAAGAATTAAATTAAAAATCAGTAACAATAGAGTAACTAGGAAAATCTTAAATATCTGGAAATAAAGCAGCACACATCTAAATAATTCATGAATCAAAGATAATGTCATAAGCACAATTAGAATGTTTTTAAGTCAGTGACAGTAAAAATACAGCATCAGAGCTTGTGAGATGCAGCTAAAGCAGTGTTTACGGGGAAATGCATAGCTTTGAAAAGCTAATTTTAGAAAAGAAGAAAGAGACAAAATATGGAACCTGAAGTTCTACCTTAAATAACTAGAAAGAGAAGGGAAAAGTAAGCCCAAAGTAAATACAAGGGAGGAAATAATAAAGAGTAGAAATAAATGAAATAGAAACTGACAGTCAAGAAAATTAACAAGTACAATAGCTAGCTCTTTGAAAATAAGTAGTTGATAAAAACTGAATTGCTCCCCTCCCCCCAAAATACATCCTCCTAAGGACCACTTTAGATGAGGCGGTGAAGGAACGTGAACAAGGAAGAGCCTACTTGGTGATAGAGGACAACAGAAAGTTATTCTCCAGCCTCTACAGAAAACCTCTGCAGTTTCTGTCCCATAGGATTTGATAAATTTTACTATTGTGTGTTTCCTGTTTTTCTCTTCTTTGAGTGAAAATTTTATTATTAATTTTCCTTTTCTATTCTAATGCTCTAATTTGGATATGTATGAGTAAAAGGAGGATGGATAACTTGTTTGTTTTTTTTTTATAAGACATTAGAAAAAGAGGACCCATCTAATAGAATAGAATTTCATAATACTCAGAGATCCTGACTTTAAGTAGAGAACTGTAATTGTATGGGTCTTTGGAACTGTCTCAGGGAGAATGTGAGCATGTTCTATGTATACTAGGATGAGGGTCCCCTGATATTTGGATAGTCAAAGCTGTGGATTTGGCAGAATTTTTCCCTTAAAAGTCATTCACTTCTCCTTAGCCAGGTACATGGTCATTTAGGTAAAGTTTTTTTTCCCCCAAACTACTCTGCAATAGATGTGCCTATGGGATCAAAGTCAAAAGGAATGTGGATGTGCATGATGCATACAGCTTCTCACCTTACTGCAGTGGTGTGAGGCTCTCCAGTAAAGGTTAAATACAGTGGTGAAAGTGGGCATCCTTGCTGGTTCCCAGTCTCCAGGGTATACAGCTTTATCTTTCACTATTAACTGTCATCTTCACTGTACATATTTTAGAGATACCCTTTTTTTCAGTTTGAGGATTTTCTGTTATTCCTAGTTTGTAGAGTTTTTATTATGAATGAATACTGAATTTTGTCCAGTGCTTTTTCTGCCTCTATTGAAATGACCATAGTGTTTCTCCTTTATTCTCAATAATGTGGTGAATAACCTTGTTTAGCATTTGAAAAGTAGTCAACTCTTGAATTCCTGAGACAAACTCCATTTGGTTGTAGTGTATTTACAATACTTAAAAAAATATTGTTGGAGTCTGTTACTTATATTTTGTTAATGATTTTTGTACCTGTATCCATAAGAATTAGAATTTTTTTCTTTTGGGGACAGTTTTTTAATACCAAATTCAATTTCTTTAATAGATGTGGGACTTTTCATATTCTCTGTTCTTGTTTAACTTATAAGAACTTGTATTTTCATGGACAAAAATTATCGATAATACTCCATTATTGTTCTTTTAATATCCGTAAATTTCAAGATGATAACCCCTTTTTCATGCTTAATAGTTAATGATTTGTGTTCTCTTTTTCCTTAACCAGTCTGTCTAGAGCAGTGGTTCTCAACCTTCCTAATGCCACAACCCTTTAATACAGTTCCTCATGTGGTGATCCTTGGGGGGATCTGTATTAAAGGGTCGCGGCATTAGGAAGGTTGAGAAGCACTGCCCTGGAAGCTTGTCAGTTCTGTTTTTGTTGTCCACTTCCTGCAGACTTAGATCTAAAGGGTATGGAGATTACTTTAGGGGGTAAGTGAGCAATCACACATGTTAATAGACCAGGCTAATTGTTTCCCTGGCATTTTAGTTCTTTTTAAAAAAAATTGCTAGATTTCTGCCTTATCTGCATTTGATCATTCTAAATGTGAGTTACAGTAGCCAGAGATCTCATTTAGGTAGTAGTACTTGTTTGTTTGTTTGTTGAGACATAGTCTTGGTCTGTCACCCTGGCTAGAATGCATGGTATCATCCTAGCTCTCCTCAGCCATAAACTCCTGGGCCCAACCAGTGTTCCTGCCTCAGCCCCACATAGCTGGGACTACAGATGTGCACCACAACCCAGAGCTGATTTTTCTATTTTGGTAGAGAGGGAGTCTCCCTCTTGCTCAGACTGGTCTCGGACTTCTGAGCTCGAGTGGTGCTCCCACCTTAGCCTCCCAGAGTGCCAGGATTACCGTCATGAGCCTCCATGCTTGGCTTGATATAGGTAGTTTTTTTTTTTTTTCAGAGACAGAGTCTCACTTTATCACCCTCGGTAGAGTGCTGTGGCATCACAGCTCACAGCAACCTCCAACTCCTGGGCTTAGGCAATTCTCTTGCCTCAGTCTCCTATAGCTGGGACTACAGGCACCCACCACAGTGCCTGGCTATTTTTTGTTACAGTTTGGCTGGGGCTGGGTTCGAACCTGCCACCCTGGGTATATGGGGCTGGCGCCCTACCCACTGAGCCACAGGCGCTGCCCATTTAGGTAGTGTTTAAGTCTGAAAAGTTTCATATTTGATTTACTGTCTATACTTTGTTCATCCCCTCTTTTCAACACAGTCGTACCAATGCCGAGATCACCTGAAAGAGTGGGTTTGCTTGGGAAGATAACGCCTTGATCTTATCCTTGTGCCATGTCTGTCAGAGAGTCCTTTTTTTAATTTGTTTTTTGAGACAGAGTCTCACTCTGTTATCCAGGCTAGAGTGCCATGGCTTTAGCCGAGGTCACTGCAACTCCAAATGCTTGGGTTCAAGTGATTCACCTGTCTCAGCCTCCTGAGTAGATGGGACTACAAGTACCTGCCATGATGCCTGGCTAATTTTTAGTGGAGACATGGTCTTTCTCTTGCTCAGGCTGGTCTTTTTTGTCTGTTTCTTTGGTTTGTTTGTATTTTTAAAGCAGAGCCTCACTCTGTTGCCCAGGAACAGAGTGGCATCATAGTTCACAGCAACCTCAGATTCCTAGGGTTAAGTGATCCTCTTGCCTCAGCCTACCAAGTAGCTAGAAGTACAGGTGCCTGCCATGACGCCTGGATAATTTTTCTAAAGAGATGGGTTGTTGCTCTTGCTCAGGCTAGTTTTAAACTCC